TGTTTACCATGATCCATAATACCCCCGGGGGTCCAATTGGGTGGATGGAACCATCTAATTTGCCTTTAAACGACCAATTTACCGGTTTATAATTTGCACCGATTTCATTAACACAAGCCTACAACGATCATTTATAACAACAAATTATGATCATATAAGGTTCGAAACAGCATTATATGACCTCGAGATATATTCCCTAGAATTTAAAAACTTTTTGACACCGGGCCCGAAATCTCCAAAATTTCTCAAAAAGTGTGGATATTAGCCTTTAATTTTGGAATTTTTTGACATTTTTTTGCTCGAAAATAAAAATTTCCGAAATTTTAACCATGATCCCTAATACCTCCCGGGAGTCCAATTGTGTGGTTGGAACCATCTAATTTTCCTTTAAACGACCAATTTAACGGTTTACAATTTGCACCGATTTCATTAATTCAAGCCTACAACGATCATTTATAACAACAAATAATGATCATATAATATTCCAAACAACATTATATGACCCCGAGATACATCCACTAGAATTTTAAAACTTTTCGATACCGAGCCCGAAACCTCCAAAATTTCTCAAAAAGTGTGGATATTAGCTTTTAATTTTGGAATTTTTTGAATTTTTTTCGCCCGAAAATAAAAATTGCCGAAATGTTTACCATGATCCCTAATACCTCCGGAGGTCCAATTGGGTGGGTGGAACCATTTAATTTGTATTTAAACGACCAATTTACCGGTTTACAATTTGCACCGATTTCATTAACTCAAGCCTACAACGATCATTAATAAAAACAAATAATGATCATATAAGGTTCCTGACAGCATTATAAGACCCCGAGATATATCCCCTAGAATTTAAAAACTTTTCGACACCGGGGCCGAAAACCTCCAAAATTTCTCAAAAAGTGTGGATATTAGCCTTTAATTTTGGAATTTTGGAATTTTTTGACTTTTTTTCGCCCGAAAAGAAAAATTGCCGAAATGTTTACCATGATCCCTAATACCCCCCGGGGGTCCAATTGTGTGGGTGGAAACATCTAATTTGCCTTTAAACGACCAATTTACCTGTTTACAATTTGCTCTGATTTCATTAACTCAAGCATACAATGATAATTTATAACAACAAATAATGATCATATAATATTCCAAACAACATTATATGACCCCGAGATATATCCACTAGAATTTTAAAACTTTTCGACACCGAGCCCGAAACCTCCAAAATTTCTCAAAAAGTGTGGATAATTAGCCTTTAATTTTGGAATATTTTGACTTTTTTCGCCCGAAAATAAAAATTGCCGAAATAATTACCATGATCCCTAATACCCGCCGGGGGTCCAATTGGGTGGGTGGAAACATCTAATTTGCCTTTAAACGATCAATTTACCGGTTTACAATTTGCACCGATTTCATTGACTCAAGCCTACAACGATCATTTATAACAACAAATAATGATAATAGAAGGTTCCAAACAGCATTATATGACCCCGAGATATATCCCCTAGAATTAAAAAAACTTTTCGACACCGGGCCCGAAATCTCTAAAATTCCTCAAAAAGTGAGGATATTAGCCTTTAATTTTTGAATTTTTTGACTTTTTTTCGCCCGAAAAAAAAATTGTCGAAATGTTTACCATGATTCCTAATACCCCTCGTGAGTCCAATTGGGGGGTGGAACCATCTAATTTGCCTTTAAACGACCAATTTACCGGTTTACAATTTGCACTGATTTCATTAACTCAAGGCTACACCGATCATTTATAACAACAAATAATGATCATATAAGGTTCCAGATAGCATTATATGACCCCGAGATATATCCACTAGAATTTAAAAACTTTTCAACACCGGGCCCGAAACCTCCAAAATTTCTCAAAAAGTGTGGATATTAGTCTTTAATTTTGGAATTTTGGAATATTTTGACTTTTTTTTCGCCCGAAAATAAAAATTTCCGAAATTCTTACCATGATCCCTAATACCCCCGGGGGTCCAATTGGGTGGGTGGAACCATCTAATTTGCCTTTAAACGACCAATTTACCGGTTTACAATTTGCACCAATTTCATTAACTCAAGCCTACAACGATCATTTATAACAACAAATAATGATCATATAAGGTTCCAGATAGCATTATATGACCCCGAGATATATCCCTTAGAATTTAAAAACTTTTCGACACCGGGCCCGAAACCTCTAAAATTTCTCAAAAAGTGTGGATATTAAGCCTTTAATTTTGGAATTTTGGAATTTTTTTGACTTTTTTTCGCCCGAAAATAAAAATTGCCGAATTGCTTACCATGATCCTTAATATCCCCCGGGGGTCCAATTGGGTGGGTGAAACCATCTAATTTGCCTTAAAACGTCCAATTTACCGGTTTACAATTTGCACCGATTTCATTAACTCAAGCCTACAACGATCATTTATAATAACAAAAAATGATCATATAAGGTTCCAAACAACATTATATGACCCCGAGATATATCTCCTAAAATTTTAAAACTTTTTGACACCGGGCTCGAAACCTCCAAAAGTTCTCATAAAAAAGTGTGGATATTAGCCTTTAATTTTGGAATTTTTTGACTTTTTTTCAACCGGAAATAAAAATTGCCGAAATGTTTACTATGATCCCTTAAACCCCCCGGGGGTCCAATTGGGTTGGTGGAACCATCTAATTTGCCTTTAAACGACTAATTTACCGGTTTACAATTTGCACCGATTTCATTAAGTCAAGCCTACAACGATCATTTATAACAACAAATAATGATCACATAAGGTTCCAAACAGCATTATATGACCCCGAGATATATCCCCTAGAGTTTTAAAACTTTTCGACACCGGGCCCGAAACCTCCAAAACTTCTCAAAAATTGTGGATATTAGCCTTTAATTTTGGAATTTTTTACTTTTTTTCGCCTGAAAATAAAAATTGCCGAAATTTTACTATGATCCCTAATACCCCTCGTGAGTCCAATTGGGGGGTGGAACCATCTAATTTGCCTTTAAACGACCAATTTACCGGTTTACAATTTGCACTGATTTCATTAACTCAAGGCTACACCGATCATTTATAACAACAAATAATGATCATATAAGGTTCCAGATAGCATTATATGACCCCGAGATATATCCACTAGAATTTAAAAACTTTTCAACACCGGGCCCGAAACCTCCAAAATTTCTCAAAAAGTGTGGATATTAGCCTTTAATTTTGGAATTTTGGATTTTTTTTGACTTTTTTTCGCCCGAAAATAAAAATTTCCGAAATGTTTACTATGATCCCTTAAACCCCCCGGGGGTCCAATTGGGTTGGTGGAACCATCTAATTTGCCTTTAAACGACTAATTTACCGGTTTACAATTTGCACCGATATCATTAACTCAAGCCTACAACGATCATTTATAACAACAAATAATGATCATATAAGGTTCCAAACAGTATTATATGACCCCGAGATATATCCCCTAGAATTTTAAAACTTTTCGACACCGGGCCCGAAAACTCCAAAACTTCTCAAAAAGTGTGGGTATTAGTCTTTAATTTTGGAAATTGACTTTTTTTCGCGCGAAAATAAAAATTGCCGAAATGTTTACCATGATCCCTAATACCCCCCCCCCCCGGAGTCCTATTGGGTTGGTGAAACCATCTAATTTGTCTTTAAGCGACCAATTTACCGGTTTACAACTCGCACCGATTTCATTAACTCAAGCCTACCACGAACATTTATAATAACAAATAATGATCATATATGGTTCCAAACGACATTATATGACCCGAGATATATCCCTTAGAATTTCAAAACTTTTCGACACCGGTCCCGAAACCTCCAAAATTTCTCAAAAAGTGTGGATAAATGCCTTTAATTTTGGAATTTTTTGACTTTTTATGGACCGGAAATAAAAATTGCCAAAATGTTTACCATGTTCCCTAATACCTCCCCGGGAGTCCAATTGGGCGGGTAGAACCATCTAATTTGCCTTTAAACGACCAATTTACATGTTTACAACTTGCACCGTTTTCATTAACTCAAGCCTACAACGATTATATATAACAACAAATAATGATCATATATTTTTCCAAACAACATTATATGACCCCGAGATATATCACTTAGAATTTCAAAACTTTTCGAACCGGTCCCGAAACCCCCAAAATTTCTTAAAAAGTGTGGATATTAGACTTTAATTTTGGAATTTTTTGACTTTTTGTCGACCGGAAATAAAAATTCCCGAAATGTTTACCATAGTCCCCAATACCCTCTGGAAGTCCACTTGAGTGGTCGGAACCATCTAATTTGTCTTTAAGCGCCCAATTTACTGGTTTACAACTTGCACTGATTTCATTAACTCTAGCCTACCACGAATATTTATAACAACAAATAATGATCATATATGGTTTCAAATGACATTATATGACCCCGAGATATATCTCCTAGAATTTCAAAACTTTTCGACACCGGGCCTAAAACCTCCAAAATTTCTCAAAAAGTGTTGATATTCGCCTTTAATTTTGGAGTTTTTTTTACTTTTTTTTTCTCCCGTAAATAAAAATTGCCGAAATGTTTATCATGATCCCTAATTCCCTTTGGGAGTCCAATTGGGTGGGTGTAACCATCCAATTTGTCTTTAAACGACCAATTTACCAGTTTACAACTCGTATCGATTTCATTAACTCAAGCCGACCACGAACATTTATGACAACATATAATGATTATTTATGGTTCCAAACGACATTATATGACTCCGAGAAGTATCCCCTAAAATCTCTTCTTTTTTTTTTTGACACCGGCCTCCGAAAACTCCAAAATTTCTCAAAAAGTGTGGATATTAGCCATTTTGGAATTATTTGACTTTTTTTCGCTCGGAAATAAAAATTGTCGAAATGTTTAGACGAACCAAATTGTATAATTTAAGGGGAAATCACATGTAGACAAATGTTTGAATCAATAATGGAAAAGAAAGAAGACATTAGCAGGGCATTACTGTTAACTAAGAGCCTAAGAAGTTAGAACAAGTGGAACAAAAAACAGATGCCAAACTGGTAAATTGCCAATACAATATTAAAAAGACTGGTAATTTATGCAGAGTAATTTGATATTGTATACATCTTAAAGCAAGGGGTAACTCTAGTTCACAGAGCTTAATAACTAATCCACCAATATTAGTCTTGCTGTTGGTTTTATAATATACATGATATCAGAAACAGCTGGTCAGAGCAGATTCATTAGCATAAAGTTGGGACGATCAATCTCTCCAGCGATGACCACAGCTTGGATTGCAGCAGACAAAGAACAATGTCATACCTTCCTCTCCTCTAGATGTTGCCTGAACAGTAAGTTCCATTTGAATTGAATTAGAAAATTAACTCGGTTGTCAAGAAAAGAAGAGAAGAAAATTAACTTCAATCAACCACTGAAAGGTAATTCATAGTAAATATTGCGTAGTAATCTTAGAACAGCAAGCTGTAATAAATAACTTTAGAAGTATAACAATATAAAACTGAACCTGTTCATTGTCTTACATTTTTTTTTTCAACTAAAGATCTCATGTCCTAAAGTCTTGTTTTTTTATGCTTACCAAACGTTTTCCTCAAAAAAAAAAAAAAAACAAAAAAAAAACTAATTCTGCAAAAGCAAGAAATAATCTGATATACTATTTGTAGAAGTGGTGAACCAAGCAAAAATATACCCCCCTCCCTTTTCCATGGTGCCACTGCTCTACCCTGCCCTACCTGACATGGATATCTAAACTATGCAGAGACAGAATGACCTGATCAGTAAGCGCTTACATGATTTTAACAATATCTCAGAGAATTTTTGCATGATTCTGAATATTGTTGTCTTAATCAGTAAAGATGCAATATGTATCAAAAGATCGTAGTGGCAAAGAGAGTTTAGTTGGTAGCAACAACCTAGAAACATAATGTCGTAGCAACTTTTGCAAAATGGCAATCACAAAAGGCTTAGTCATAGCAAGTTTTTTTATTAAATTGTTTAGCTCCCCTTTTCCTACTCCCCATCTAGTGCTGAATTTAGATTTTAGAGTGATTATATAAATAAATCACTGCATTGTGAGTTCCATAGTAAGGTGCTCAAGACAGCAGCCAAAGATTTTGTAGGTGAAAGGAGTACACCCACAAACTCATGTGCTTGCAAGGATTATAACCAAAAGTTAAAGTTCACCTGGAAAAATACAGCCTCTCCATGGTTGCATTGAGTACAACGGACTGACTTTGTACGGGGAAGAGTTGGATCTGCAGCTACATCTTGTAAGACCTGAGTACGTTCACCAACAGCATGATGTATCTCATTTCTGTATACGCAGTTGTTATCAGCAACCTCCTACATGAAAGATAAAGATCATAGGTAAGTTAGCAAGCAGAGGCAAGGCTGCTAGGTTCATAATGAATTCAGAGACTTGGCTTCTATTAACAACATTAAGAGTCTTTATGTGATAGACCCGAAATTGGGCCAGCCCATTAAGGTTTACCACCGCAGGTCCAAGATGGGTCAAGTTCACAAGTGGGGTCAAGGGCACAAGCAAATCAAATACAACGGTAACCATGAGGAGCAAGCAGCAGAAGTGGAGGAACAGGGAGGGCAGTAGCAATTGTCAAGGAAGCCAAATTGGGAAAGAGACAAGCTTGAAAAGGATGAGACACCATTTTGTAACCATGGCAAAAGGTTGTTGTTCCCTAAGCCTTGGAAGTCAACTAGTATTAGTTTTAGGTTATGTTAGAGCTTGAGTATAAATTGTATGATAGATAGTAGTAGCCGATTATCCAGAAAAATGTTGAGAGAATTCCTTTGAGAGTTGTAGCCTAAAGCTACTTAAAGATTAATAGCCTAAAGCTATTGTTATCCTGTAACCTTTCAGTTTCCACTATTAATCAAATTACTCAAGCTTACCTTCCTTTAGTGTTAATTAATCTTAATTACATTGTGTGAGAAAACCGGTTCTTGACACTTTACTAATGTTTCATCGTAGTAACACAGACTTGGCTTCTATTAACAACATTACGAGACTTTACTAATGTTCCATTTATATCCACGAGATATTGGATCACCAATACCACTGCTAGGCAACATTCCTTCAACAAGAAAATTAACCACATTACTCAAATGAAAGGTGTTCCCTTTTCAACCGCCTTTCAACTCCTATAATATGCAAATTGGCCATCTTTATTCATACTATGAAGCACTACTCCATATATTTTCTAGATAATATAAAATACAATCCTCATCTCAAATTCTGGCTAAGTATTGCCGCCATCGATGCAAATTTAAAGTTATAGTACAGCAGAACAGCTTCCCACATCCAAACCCCTTACTCGTTTCATAATCGAAACCAATTTCATAATGCCAAACTATAAACCCAGTTAATAAGACTATAAGATCAATAATCTTATTGCATAAAAATTTCAGCTTTTATCAATTAATGTAAAACCCAACAATGATTCAAAACTCAATTACTCCATATTACTAATTAATGTAAGACCAATTAAGAATCAAAAAATTCCTGACCATAAAACCCTAATTAAACTTATAACTGCAATTAAGAAAGCTAGCAAACACAAAAAGGCGAGAGAATTGAAAACCTGGTGATCGCAATTTCGGCAAGCGTAAAGGAGAATCTTATGATCTTTGTCCTCCTTTGGGTACAGAATATTGTTGCTGTTCATTCACGCACAAAAATTAACAATAAAAAATCAGAAAAAATAGAAATTTATCACTATTAAAGCAAGAAAATTGTTGAATTAATTGATTAAATTTTTTTTGCAGAAGAAGATGAGAAAGTCACTGACCATTCACGGCAAAACTTCATGGTACTCATCTTGGATAATGTATAAAGCTCGAATTGAGTTAATTGGGGAAATTTTGGAGAAATAGTTTTCGGAAAATCAGATTATCGGAGAAAAAAAAATTGGATGCCCTAATTTTGTGTGCTTCTTACTCTTGTTCTTCAGTCTTGAGTATAGGAGCTGGGGTTTTAGATTTCAGCAGCCTGGAAATTAGTTACGTGTTTTGTTGGGGTTTAACACTTATTAAAACTTAAGGCCCTTAAATAATTACTCCGTAATTCCGTTTATATATCACCTCCGTTTTTTAGTTGCCATGTTTTGATTTTAAACCCTTTTCAAGCATTTTTTTTTTTACAAAAAAAATCGTGTTTTGCGATTTACAAACAATGAAATATATAGTCATGTGAACCTTGTTTACTTTGTCATGATATATATTTTCAAAACATCAACGTTTAAAAATTTTATTTATCGATAATTAAAGATATTAATGGAATAATGATTGAATTTGTGAATTGGCAAACGTGACTAATCTACTAAGAAATGGACGAAGTACTTCTATTTTGGCATGCTTGTTTTCTACCCGTGTGATAACAATTTTTTTTTAAGGGTTATTCTATACAGTGCCCCTGAGGTATTGACTTTTCCAAGCTGTGCCCACTCATTTTCAAAATTCTACACTGTACCCTCAAGTTACCTTTAGCGTCTACGATGTAACCCTATCTTAATCCCTCCGTTAAATTTCCGTTAACTTCAAAATAAATAAATTAAAAAAAAACAAAAAAAAAACCCAAACACCTCTCTCTCCTCCCTCACGACTACCCACCACTACACCTCCACCGCACCACTGCCGCACCCCCAGCCGCACCACCAAGCCGTGCGCGCTCCTCTCTTCTCGACCCACCACCGCGCGCGTAACCCTCCTCTCTCCTCTCTCAACCGAGCCACGCTCCTCTTTCCTCGACCCACCAGCCGCACCATTTCGCGCGACAGCCCAAATTTCGTTCTTCATGCCCAAATTTTCGACCAATTGAACTATATTCTTGCAGATTTTTATTGGAAAAATCAATTAAAACAAGTTTTGTGTATTGAATCTCAATCTAATTGCACCAAAATTGATGATTTAACAATTAAAATCAAATTGGGGAAAAAAATTAGGGTCTTCTATTATTTTAAACCAAATTCTTTGATTTCAAAACAATAACAACAATTAACAACTTAATTTTGCAATTAGAATCCAATGAAATAAAAGCCCTAAACCAATTTGTCAAAATTTCACTTCGAATTCGAATTCCTCCATTGCCTTGTCCAATAGTTTCTTTGGTGGTGCACTAGGTGGTGACGCGCGGTGGTGGGTCGAGGAGAGAGGAGCGCGGCTCGGTGGTGCGGCTGGGGGTGCGGCGGTGGTGCGGCTGGAGGTCTAGTTGTGGCTGGTGGGTAGTTGTGAGGGAGGAGAGAGGTGTTTATGGTTTTTTTGTTGTTTTTTAATTTTTTTTTTTTTAAGTTAACGGAAAGTTAACGGAGGGATTAGGGCAGGGTTACATCGTAGACACTAAAGATACTTCGGGGTACAGTGTAGAATTTTGAAAATGGGTGGGTACAACTTAGAAAAGTCAATACCTCAGGGGCACTGTATAGAAAAACCCTTTTTTTAATGAATAATTAAATTTACACAAACTTTTAAAAAAATCGGGTGTACAATAATTATTGTACATCCATTATAAAGATAACCTAAAATGATTAAAAGTTACCCATGAAATGAATAAAAGTTACCCCAATATGCGTTAAAGTAACCAAATTCAAATAAAAATTATTTACACTTTATTAGTAAAGAATCACATTTTAAATGACTGAAAATCAATTATTAGTGATTGAATGTAATTAAATTACCTTTATAAAACTTTTCTTGTTGTTGATAAATTAGCTAAAAGTTACCCTTATACTGCTTGATGTACACTAATATTAGTGTAAACCGGATGTATACAAAATTTTTTGTTAAATTTATAAATCGATCTTAATCAAATGGATAATGAAGCTCCTGTTGTTGGCCTGAAAAATTATAATTATGGAGATTATAGACTCATTGTCACAATTTAATCAATTTGATGCACTAATGAATGAATAGAGCAAAATTTGACCGGATCTAAAAAAAAATTATTCAATTCAGATTTCGACTCATATGAACACAATAATTTAGCATGACTCAAGTTTGGAATTAGACCCCTCACAAAAGAAAAATTCGAAATTAGACCCAACCGACTTAACCAAACCCGACCTGCTTTCCCCTACCTCCCCCCCCCCCCACCCCCAAAAAAAAAAAGGAATCCATAAAGGAATCCTTTCAATCTGTAGAATCAATGTATTCAAAAGCGTTGGGACGCAAGTGAAAGTGTGAAACCCTCATGCACAAGAGATTTAATCAGCAGGATCATGTATTACCAATGGTTGAAATTACAACTTAACATTGCTAAATTGTGAAAACACCAAAATTAAATCTGCTGTAGGTTTCCAAAAATACAAATTAGGATGATTAGAATCATGAACTGGTCAGCAGATACATCAGCATAAAGAGGGGGAAATCAATCTCTCCATTTATGATTACAGGTCGGATTGCAGCAGACAAAGAACAATGTCATACCTTCCTCTCCTCTCAGTGTTTCCTGGATAATTACCCGAAATGAAATGGATTAGAAACATATAGTGAAATTCATCATGGTATAGAGAAAAGCCAGTCCTGGGTTACGAAGTATGACACATAAGAATCTCGTGTCCTAAGTCAAACCTAAATGTCCATAAGCATGAAAGAATTTGAGATATTATCATGGATAAGTGATAGGACTCCTTCCACACTACAATCTGCCAATCCCCCCCTCCTCCCTCCTATATCCAAAAAGAAATAGAAAGAAAAGAGCTAAAAGAACTGACATGATTCTTGTAGTGTCTTACAGAAAGACTAGAAAGAAAATTGGCATCTTGATTCAGTAAGATGCAATATGTATCATTATAATCAAGCCACATCACATCATTATACTTCAAAATAGAAATAAAACTCATTCTTGGTACTTTATAAACATCTTTACAGGTGTGTTATGGTTTCAAATCATCTTATATGAGCCTATGACTCACCCCGCACATTCAGTTCATTTTTTGAAAAAGTGTAAAAAATTGGCCAAAAAACGTGTATTATAGCCTTCAATTTTGCCAATTTTCGACTTTTTTTGACCCGTAAACAAAAATTGCCGAGATGCTTTCCATAAATCCTAATATACCCCGGGGGTCCATTTGGGTGGTTAAAACCATCCAATATGCCTTTAAACTGTCAATTTACCCGTTTACAACTTGCACAGATTTCATAAACTCGAGGCTACCATGGACATTTATGACAACATATAATGATCATATATGGTTCCAAACGACATTATATGACCTCGGGATGTATCCCCTAATATCTTGAGACTTTTCGACACCGGGTCCCGAAACCTCCGAAATTGGCCAAAAACCGTGTACCTCCGAAATTTTGCCAATTTTCGACTTTTTTTGACCCGGAAATAAAAATTGCCGAGAAGCTACCTATAGTGCCTAATACCCTCCAGGAGTCCAATTGGGTGGGTGAAATTATCCAATTTGCCTTTAAGCATCCAATTTACTCGTTTTCGTACACGCCTCTTGTATTGGCTATAGGCTTTCACGAGGACTTTATGTAGCCAACTTATGGTCATATATGGGTCCAAACAACGTTATATGACCCCGGGATGCATTCCGTACAATTCCGTTAATTTCTGACACTGGGTCCCGACACCTCCTAAATTGCTTCAATTTCGTGTATTATAGCCTTCAAATTTGGCTAGCCCATGCTCTTTTTTTTTAAAACATTTTTCCCCTTCTATAAATTCCCCCCAACTTAGCACAGCAGTAGAACTTTGCATTTTAGGTAGGAACCAAACCACGATAAGAGGTCAAAATAATAAAATGATCACCATATCATAAGATCCTAGAATTGTAATGATAACTAAGCAATAGATTGTTCAGTGCATCATAAGTTCCATGGTAAGGATGGCCAAAGTAGCAAACAACAATGGTGCTTGGTTATAACAGCTAACAGATCACATGAAACCCTTGCAAAGAGAATAAACAAAATTTGAGGTTCACCTGGTAAAAGACAGCCTCTCCATGATTGCATTGAGTACAACGGACAGACTTGGTCCGGGGAAGAGTTGGATCTTTAGCTACATCTTGTAGGGCCTGAGTACTCTCTCCAGCAGATTGGTGTATCTCCTTTCTGTATACACAAATGTTATCAGCAACACCCTACATGGAAAACAAGGGTCATAACTCATAAGTAAGTAAGCTAATTCCAAAGAAAGGAGTTGGTTACAAATAAGAAAGCATTAGCCATGCTTATGGCATCTCATCCTCCTATCATCAAGCAATAAATAAATAAACAAATCAACATAAGAGCATCCTCCTCCATAGGAAAAAGGTTGACAATCAAGAATAATAGAGAAGGCATGCCAGCTTCTAAATAAAGTGTGGATATACAACACCAATAAAGCATTTTATAAAACTAAGCCAAATGCAATGAATGATTATGCAAGAATAGAAACTCTTGTATCAATTCATTATGAAATCTTTTAGGTTTGTAGTGAATTTAAAGACAGTCTTTCTGGGTTAACATTATAACACATTTTTAACCTTCCATCTTAAAGCAATTAAAGAACATACAGTATATAATAATGAAACAGCAAAATTACACAAGTATAAGATCATAGACACAGAAGAAAAATCTATTTCATTTATAAAATCAAAAGAAAAATCTTGCACACTAAAATTAACCTTGAATTGGTTGAGATGGCTCACTTGAAGCATTATGAGCACATACAGTATATGAAGCACCAAATTTGCACAAGTTCAACATTGTGGTCACATCAGAAAAAATCAATTCCATTTATATCCATCACCCATGAGATGGCAATAACATACTACCACGCAACATTTCATTAACAAGAGAATTTACAGCAAGAAATCTATAGTGAAGGTATTCCCTTCAAAAGCCTTTTTCATGTCCCCTAACAGTGCTGAAAATCAGGTTCAACAAGCAAAGAACAAACCATTTAATTAAGAAAAAGAACACTATTGCAAGCCACACTAATAATAGTGGTAATAGCCTAGCATTAATAAGTGGATTTTGTGAAGTCACCTCACTTACTGAATCCAAGCAGGTTTAAAACAAACCAACCTGCTAATCTGCTATATCCAAACAGGTGAAAACCTTGTTCCAAACGCGCTAATTTCATGCCGGGTTGTAGGATCATGTCATTTGTTGTCAATTAACATAAATTTGTACAAAGATAAACAGGATCATACTAGGAAGCATAAAGAATCTGATATATTTCTAAATTACATACTGTTTCGGGTGAAAACAATGGGACCTTGCCGAAGGTCCGCTGAAATGGAGAAGACTGGATTCGGTCCAAGTTGTCTTGGGCCGAAGGTTTCCTGCACAGTAAACACACGTAAACTAGCCTCGGGGGTGTTGCCGAGGAAGGCCCCTCCGATGCTAAAGTCAGTACAATGTGTAAAAGGAAGACACTATGCAAGAGAGTTTGTAGCTTGAGGCTTTTGTGGAATATATCTCAATCAGAGTATGAATGAACGTGTATCAATATGATGGCTTTTATACCTCATCATACATGGTGAGGTTGGGCCTTAGCCCAATTGGCATGCTTTGTGGGCTGACCTTTGACTTTTGTGCAATTGGAGAGTTGAACCTTGACCTTGGGCTTTTAATTGGATCATTTAGTGCTTAGGCCCAATTTTGACTAAATTGGACCCAAACAACTTGCCCCCCAGACCCGATTTGGAAGGATGACGGGTCGGGTTTGATTTAATTCAGAAAAGGAGGGAAGTAAATGATTTAATTGATCCAAAAATTTGAATTTAAACCGTAATTAATGAGATAACAACGGTTAATGATTGCGGAAGTTGGACGGATAATGGGCAGTTTAATCACAAGATCATGTGTTTAATGGTTACTTAGTGGGTATTTAAGAGAAATTAAAGCACAGACTCTTCGTATCCCGTACCTGGAGATATAAACAGAGGCGCGTCATTCTCCTCACTTATTCACCAACACAAACCCAGAATTCCTCGAGAGAGAAACCAAGAACCCGCATCAAAACTTCGCAAATTCCCCGAGCATTGAGCTTAGAAACTGAGACTTGCCACTACGAACTCGTAAATCGGCAACTTTCGCTTCAGATTAAGGTAAATTCCTTTGATTTCAGTTTATTTTTCTTCAAATTCGAACTCCTTCCCCTTTTCTTTCGACTTTCCTCTTCGAAATAATCAATGGCAAGAGGAGTTAGAGGTAGAGCCCGTGCTCCAAGAAGAGCAAGGCCGATTCCCGATCCTAGGAACAGGATTGGGACCTGGAATGGTCAAAGGCCGGAGTCTGACCCTGCTGAAGGGATTAGGGCGACTCCCCTTTCCTCGGCTCCTCCTCAAAGAACGGATGAGCCGAGCGCTTCTGGACGGGATGATGAAGTTCCCGCTGTCCTTTGGGATATCCTCCCTGGGTTTTCAGAATGGGAGAATGCCGAAGTCGTTTCGGCCATGATAAAGAACCGCCCCTACTCATGGTGGGTAGAGAACGCCGATCAATATCGATTTGCCGAGCAAATTGAGTTGCATTACGGCATTTTTGAAGCTGATGGATATTGGTGCCGAATGCCCTCAGCATCCGATAGAATCCATCGTCCACCCCCGGGGTATGTGGGGGTGTACACGAGACAGCTTCAGTACGGGCTGAGGTTCCCTTTGGACGTTTTTGTCCGAGACTTGCTGATCCATTACAACATCTCCCTATGTCAGCTAACCCCCACCAGCATCCGAAGGGTGATGACATACTTATGGGTCTGCAAGTTCTTCAAGTACGTGCCGAACCTGCACTGCTTCAAAAAGCTCCATCGGCTAGTGCCAAATATTCAGAGTGGGCACGGAAGCCATGGTTGTGGGTGGTACCGGATTGAGTCCCGGCCCCAATACTTGACCATGTGGCCAAACGACTCTTCAGACAAGGACTGGAGAGGTCAATGGATTTGGGTTAGGGAACCCACAGATCCGGGCCACCCTTGCGTCTTCAGCGCTCCCCGGTACTTAGCTGAGCCTGATCCCGAAATGGGAAGTCTAGGTCCCCCCGCAGATAACGGGGCGGATCCGAACCTGGATCAGCAACATATCTTCGGCAAGCTGCCGAACCCGGGGGGAGTGGTCGAATGCAGCATATCCCGGAGACTTGGCTCCCCGATACGCATTACGTTTTCCAAGAGAACATGCTAGCAGCTGTTGGCCTCAGCCGAAAGTTTAAGGATGGTAAGCTTCTTCGGCTGGGGCCGAGGCTTTTTAACTACCTCTTTTTCTTCTCTCGCTTTGCTTTTTTTATGCTGTGCCGATATATCTGAGCTAAACTTTCCCCTTTCCTTTTTTCAGAGCGGGACGAGACCAACGTTGGCATTAACTACGCTCGTCTTGGTGTCAACCGAGAGCGAGTTGTAACTGAACGGGCCCCGTCTATCACTGAGCCGAGGCATAGGGAAGTTCATCTAGACTCTTCCCACTTCCAAATTGAGGCTGTTGCTCTGTATCAGAGGCAGAAGCCTTGGTGGAAGAAGAGAGACCCTTGGTTTCAGCTGCTGAACGAAGAAGCTGAAGCTGCCCGCACAGCCGAAGAGGTTGCACGGGTACTCGAAGCTTGCGAAGGAGGAGAAGGGTCCTCCAGAGCTGCTGAAGCCGAAGCTGCAGCTAGAGCAGCTGAAGAAGACGAGGCTTTGCTGAAGACCTCGGTGAGCTTTCCGACAACTTTTTCTTTTTTCTTTTCTTTTTTCTTTTTTTCTTTTTTTTTTTTTTTTTTTTTTACTCACATTATTCTTCCCCCCTCTGTTACAGTCTGAAGAGAGTAACAGACACAGAGAAGGCAAAGCTCCTGTTCGTCCCGAAGACCAAATACAAGAGTCTTCAGACTCAGATATGGACGAGCAGCCCCTTCTGAAAAGGCGCCGAAGGATGGCCATCATCGGCCCTCATGACTTTCAGCAGAGGCCGATGACCATCGGCGTCGCAATAAGGGAACCTGAGGAAGGCAACGGATCGCCGAGGGTTCCCCAGCCAACACCCCAATCACCTCAAAAGACCCCTCCGCCACCTCCTGAGATGGAGGTGGATCAGAGAACTCCCGAACCTAAGGGAGGGGTCCAAGAAGAAATCAAGAAGAGTGCTGATGAGCACGAAAATAAGGATGCCGTGATGTCCAGCGCTGAGGGCTTCACGACAGACATCGCAAGAGAGGTTGAGGCTTTCGTCCTCACCCCTGAAGAAGAGGAGGTCATAGTAATTGACTCCTCTGAGAAGGATGATGCTGAGACAACCAAAGCTAATCAAGCTCCATCGTCATCCTTCCCTTCTTTCCAGACTCTGCATTCTGGAGAAATGGGTTTCTCGGCCCCCCGAATTCCAATCCCAGACCACATCTGGGACCTCATATGGGGTCAAAACCGAGAAGTAGCTGCAGCCTACTTCGGCAATTTTGCTGGCATGTCCGAAGTAGACAGGGCAAGGATCTGGTCGCTGAAGGCCACTGCTGGGATGGGCGAATCCAGCAGATCAGTTCCTGACCCAGCCAGGTCTAACCAACTGCTGATGATGCAGGTAATTTTCCTTGTCTTCATTTCCTCCGAAATTCAGCTCTTTATATATATATATATTTATTTATTTATTTATTTTTGTCTTCCTGTTTTCAGTTCGTGCACAATCAGACTCTCACTGTAGAGCTGATAGATACCCTACAAGATAGGGTAGACGCTGCTGTGCACGACAAGAAGGTGGCTGAAGAGGAAGTAAAGCTTGCTAAGCTGAAGCAAGCAGCAGCTGAAGAGAAGCAGCAGGAGGTTGAGGAGTACGGGAAAAAAGCTGCTGAAGCCCTGAAAACCTTCTGCGATGCTATGGAGAAGGAAGTTTTTCCCCCACTGATGGAAGGGGAAAAATTCCTCCAGGAGCATATGGGAGTGGACGTCTCCAAATTCAAGGCTGCTGTTGAGAGCCGAATTCAAGAAGGAACTGCTGCACAAGCTGAAGTGCAGCAGCGTCTAGAGGCTCTTGAAGCCAGCCGAATGGCTGCTGAAGAGTTGCTCCTGGCCAAAGACGTCCAACTCTCAGAGGCTACTGCTGCTGCTGAAGCCCAAAGAGCTAAATTCCAAGAGACTGAGAATCAACTGCTGATCCAGAAAGTTGAAGTGGCCCAAGCTCAGACTAAG